AAATTATTGATTTTCTAAGTTATTTTTTAATTTATAAATTCCAACTATCTTTTATAAATTGGCAAATTTTTATTTTATTCAGATTAATTAGCAGAGATCAATGCTTTTTTCTCTGTTTCTATACTAAGAGATTAAAGATTCGCGAGTTTTTTGAAGATTCATAGCCTATTTCGCCTGTCGTATAGTGAATTTGAAGGGAGAGCACGTTATTTCTTGAACCCTTCGACCTCGCGACCCTCTGGGCCTTTCTGACCCTGATCCAAACTACGGGTGCTATTGCACAGTCGCTTGGTTTCGTATATTTCTATACTCACATCTGCCTTATGTTCTCACGCTATTTTCCTTCCAGCTTAAAGTCTCCGAGTAACGGCGATGAGCTTTGTTATCGAGATACAAGGGGTTAAGCCGGTGTCCAGAGAAAATAAAAATATTTCTTTTATTGTATAAAAAAAGTCTGCATTTTTAGAACATTTCCCGACATGGATATAGTTATTTCAAAAATAAAATAAAATAAAGAGAACAGAATTTTATTTCGAAAGTATTCAAACTTATACTCTATTTATGTATTTAATATCAAATTTTTTTTCGTCCAGATCTGTTTCTTATTATATACTATATATATAGCTTTTTCATTATATTTCGATAAGTTCTAGAATTAAATTATAATTTAACTCTTTGTGATCACACTGGGGTCAAAATGACTGTGAATACAGCAATCAATTAAATGTGCTCCGAGATCATTTTGACCTCGCTAAGTTTTGACCCCAGAAGAAGTGTGACCACGAAGGGTTAAAGGAGGTAAAGATTCAGTCAATCTATTTTTATTTCATATACATAGCAACGCGGAAAGTTTTATCCTTCGAAAATAATAAATAAGAAAATATTATAGGTGTGAAATAGATGATATATATATATATATATATATAGAAAAGATATTTTGCAAATAATGATAAACAAAGAAATCAACGATTATATCTGTAAATAACTGCAAGTAATAAAGAGTCGCAAATCTTTTTCTTTAGGATTTGATTTTTTAACATGTAGGCGCTATTAAATATACACAGAAAAAAAATGTTAACTCGTAAGTGTTTGGATAATTAAATTAAAAATAACCGGCCAACACACAAGCGAAATTATACTTCTTTCACATATCATTATTCGTTTTTGTTTGACAATAATAAAAATGATATGTAGGATTCTTCTATGTTTAATCAATAAATAATAGCAATAATGGTACTTTCATAAATTATCATAATTATTTTTGCTATAAATGAAAAACATTTATATTAAAATATTAATGCATATAACTAAAAATAAAAAATTCTAAAATAAAAAATATATTTTATTTCAACGTATGATGCAAAATTCACGATTTTTATTCCTTCTCTTTTTAATCCTAAGTTAAAAAAACCTTTTCGGCAAATTTTCATAAATAGTAAATAATTATTTTGAACAAGGAATAGGGAAGTGTAAAATGACACAAAAATCAATATAAATGTAACAAATAATACGTTGTTTCAAATGTTTTAATATTTAATAAATCATACATAAGATTCGGGAAATTCGAATGTTACGTCCCGTCCAGTCAGTTGTTTATACACCGAAGCGAAGGTATCGACCTGTCAAAAGATGAATTAAAATTTATGAATCACATTACAATATTAAAATAAATAAAATTCTATACAGAGAAAATGGGCAGAAAAAACTTAATAAATGTACCTTGTGTTCAATATTCGTTTGTTCATTTTTGTCCAAATGAACTTTGATAACTTGTGAGCCATCGAGCTTTACTCGAATTCGTTTGCCCACAATCTCTACAGGATAAACAATATCCTCCAACAAAGCGTCATACACCGAAGTCAACGTACGGCTAAAATATAAACATAGATTATACAACATTTAGTCAGAATTCAAGATAGTTAAACTCATATTGAATATCAAAATAATCGGTTTTTACAGATAAATAAAATAATAATAATACTAATAATGCAATAACTATGGATGTAATAACTATGGCCTATTCTTTTTAGTTGAACTTCTTGCACGATATAATTTACCTCCTTTTTTCTCTAAGAAAAAAAATAAATCGTGCAAAAAATTCAGCAAAAAAGAATAAGGCCAAACTTCATTCTTTTTAGCTGAACTTCTTGCACAACTTTCTTTTTTTCTCTCTAAAGTGAAAAGAAAAAAGAAAGATAAACGTGCAAAAAGTTCGACTAATGTCCGTTTTTACCAATGTGTTGGATTGTCGGGAAAATGTCGTTTTTCCATATCGCTATTAAGAGCAGTAACTTTGTTAAAAATGATCAAAATTTAAATTTAAAAAAAGGGTTTTAAAACTCGAAATTTCTACTTTCGAATGGTTACTATATTTTTTGAATTTATGTGAGTTTTGTAATTTTTACATATAGAAAACTACGAGCTGAAAAAAATGAAAAATTTTTTTCAATTTGTAAGTCTGTAGTGTGTCCAAAAAAAATTTGAACAAATTTTCAACTATCTATTGTGAAAGCTTGAAGCTTTTCCTACAAAATTGTTTTTTAAAAATGTTCCTACGATTTTTTCTTCCTGAGTTACTCCCGGATTAAATAAAAAGAAACATTCTGACTTTATTGCTTGTAACTCGATTAAAAATCATCGTATCATAGTTAAAAATACAGATTCTTAAAGTTGAAACGTTGTTCTATGAAGTGGTGTAATCGCTAATTTTGTAGAATATATTGGAAAAGAAAACCACCATTTTATGTAGAAAAAATACGTCATGATTTTTCCGACAATCCAATAATTTAATTTTAATCTCGGTTTAATTAACTTTTCATCTTTTTTTAGTTCTAAAAATTGAAGAAAGATGAAGAGTAAATTGAACCAAGATTAAAATTAATCTACATTGGCAGAAATGGGTATAAAAAGAGCACATTTACAATTAAATTACACTTGTCAAATTATATAACAACAAATATTATATTTTCGTTTTCTTACCTCCTAGGACGCTTCTGCTTGTTCTTCGTACGCGTTTTTCTTGTCGGCTTTGGTAAGATTTTACGTTCACCGACGAACATTACATGCTTGCCAGAGAACTTCTTCTCCAGCTCGCGTACTAACCTCGTTTGAATCTTTTGGAAAGCCTTCAGTTTTGGCATTGGTACATATATAATGATCGACTGCAAAAAATGCAAGCAATTCAGTACAGTTCTCTGTAAGGGTATTAAATAGAAAGATATACACTAACGTCCATACAGCACAGAAGTTTGCTGCAACATTGCTGCAATGTTTATAACGTTGCTGCAATATTTACGTCTGTATTCATAATCAGATCTTATATTTCAGGCTTCCTTAAATTTATCTTCAGATGTTCAATAGCCAATAAAATAATTTGTAGGGCATCTGAAGATATATAAATTTAAGGAAGCCTTAAACATAAGGGCTATGGCACACAAAAAACTTAAGCAGTAAAATGTAAGCAGTAAGCGAATTGACCAATCACAGTAGAATCCGTAAGGCCATAACATAAACAGTAGCAAATCCAACATGTTGATTTCCTTACTGCTCACGTCTTACTGCCTTAAGTTTTTTGTGTGCCAGGGCTCTTAAGCTTCACTATGAATATAAGCATTTTTTCTGTGGCCAAAAAATGGACAAAATACTAAAAAAATTGTATTTAAATACAAAATACTCTAAAAAAAATTGTATTTGAATGCAAAATACAAAATACTCTTAAAAAAAATATTCAAATACAAAATACAAAAATATATTTAAATACGTATTTTAAATACATGTATTTCAAATACTGTCCACTTCTATCTGTGGTTAAACTAATATATCCTTTTGGAACTTAAAGTGAGATAGATATATGTTTATATTTGGTAAAAGCAAGAGAGTTCTAGTGCAATCTAGTACAGGAATAAAAAACAGACTATCGCTGGAATGATTTATGCTGTATAAACTTGAAGAATTGAAGTTTACCTTTTTATTGTTTGTTTCTAGTTCCTTCGCCTTGGTGATGTAAAGTTCTCTTAAATGCGACTTCAGGTCGCTGTTCATTTCCAGTTCCAGAAGAGCATTGGAGATGCTCGCCTCGAACTGGTCGGGCTCCGAGCCGCCGCTCTTAATTATCTTTGCGTTAGCCGTGAACATCTGAAAGAGATTTTGAGGTTAGGACATTGTTTACAAGTACCACCCGCACGTCCGCGCGAGATATTCGTCGAGACGTGACATCGTCAACAACTCCAGCGTGGATTTCGCGAAGAAAAGTCCTCTCTGGGGACTGTCCTCCTGACGTGAGAATAATCGTCGATAACGCGACAGAATGACATTATGGTAAACGCGAGAATCGCGGGAACCGACGAAATCCGTTGTAATCACGCCTCCGACATGCGATCTGGGAAAGATATCAATCGTTTCACGTATCACGGACTTTCTGGCGTCGGGCGACGCAGGATTTCATACATCGTTGTACATTAAAAAGGTCGCAAAGCTAAATGCTCGAAAATGCCCACCTTGTCCACCTGGCTATCACATGAAAAAGAGGCCGGGATGAAAAGATAGCTAGAACGAACCCTCGTGCGTTTTTTCCAGTCCACGAGTCGCTGGTATCGACATCGACGTCATCGACTGGCCACCACGTGGTCGATCCCCTTCGCGCCAAGCCTTAAAGCCCACTCTACAAACGTGTGTTCTCTGCTTCTTTATTCTTAATTTTTACTACTTTTTATCTCTTGCCTCTTACTTTTTCGCCTTTTATCCTGTTATTCTTCATTAAAAAAAGTTTGTGCAAATAAATGAAAGAATATTCAGAATCATTCTGGAGAGGGGAGTATTTTTTCAGACTACATATTTAAAATCTTACTCCGACAGCAAATCAACACGTGCGAGAATCTCACGTAAGATTTTCTAATGCGGCTGTCCATCTGGATTTCAGATACGCTTTGCTTTAATTACTGTAGAAAAAAGTATCTGTTTTCGCGTGTTGCTTTGCAAAATTCTTTCCGTTGAATTTCGAATGTTTCTCTAAATTTAATGTAATTCTACGATTTTGTGAAGTCTCAACGAATAGTGGTGACATGTTTTTCTAGTCTGCTCCAAAAACGAGACGAGAAATATTTTACAGTGAAGTTTTAAACGTTAAAAATCATTTGTTTATTCACTCTGGATTGGATATTATCTAGTGAATATATTTTATTGTGTAATTATACTTAATTGTACATATAATGGATAATAGTAACACGATGGATGCAGCAAATAGTCTGCATGATTTTCCAAATACAGGTATAATGTGATAACTGAATGTATGACAAGTTTGAATGTAATAATATTTATTTACAATGATGATTATTTTCTTATTAAAGTAACACTAGTGGAAAGAAATACCATGCCACAAGGCATATCATTAATTGATCCAGCTGCTGTAGCAAAATCAAGTAAGCAGGATTTAATGGCGCTAGTCACGGAAATTAAAAAGGTAACATATATCTGCGTAATATTTATAATTAAATTAAATTATTTATAATTTAATTATAAAATGGTTTTGTTATATATATTTACTAATTTATGTATTTTTTTTTTATATAGGCAGATGACTGTGTAAAAGCTAATGCATGTAATAAGTTACAAGTGATCGCAGAGCAGATCAGATTTCTGCAAAGACAGGCCGAGGGTATTTTGGCTGAAGCAGAACGGAACGCCAAGCTGCATCATGTACCTTGCAATTTTGTAAAGCAGTCTGGTCACATTTATCATTTGTATCAACGAGAATCGGGACAGTTTTACTTTTCCATGCTTAGCCCAGAAGTAAATATCTTCGTATCATTAAGTATTTTTGTAAAATACTGTCTAACTTTTCTTGTATCCTGTTGTAGGAATGGGGTAGTTTAGCTCCCTCACAAAATTATATGGGTTCGTTTAGATTGGAGCAAGACCGCTCATGGACCCCACTGTCTAAACTGCAGGCGAAGAACGACGAATTGAACTTGATTGGAAAATTCTTACCTTCCGATACAACTGCAAATGCCTTTTTACATTCTGTCATGTTAAATAATAGCAAGTAACGTAATTAACAAATTTATATTGTAATTAATAAATTTATATTGTAATATATTGTTAAATGATGAAAAATGCAAACTAGAAAAGCAATATATTACTAGACAAAAATTTGGCAACTCTTAAGTTATTTCAGTCTGATAGATTAAGGGTTTTAGTTGTAACTCAATGAGCAAATTTATTTCATGATATAATGTCGAGCTATTTATAGTCCCTATTTGTAAATATACATACATACAAATATATTTCTGCAGGTATATAGAATAGATGATTATATAGATATCTGTTTTATATATGATTAGAAATTATATACATAATTTTAAAGTTATGTATATAATTATATACACATTATTGCGTCAAAACGATATCTATTTTGTACAAGAATAAATCGTACGCTAATACTTTAACTCCAATGTAATCGATTGTGCAATTAATTAACAAATGTCTTTCTCTACATGCGATAATATTCATATGTAATATAATTCTATGGCTGATTGTTATTTTTTACTCATAATGATCTCTAGATGACTGAAAAAGATCAATATGATTTTTGGAATTATAATATGTTTTCTATTTTATGTGGCATATATATCATTACATTTCTATAGGCAGTAAATAGATTTGTGTTCAGGTTGAGGTTTACTCTTTCTAAAGTATTTGGAATAAGACTTCAATGAGCAAAATGAGTACATCTCAGTGCAGCTCACGATTAAAAGTTTCGTGAGTACAGCTGAATATTTATGCAAGATCTATTTTTTTTCTATAGAACACTTTTCGCAAAACTTCTGCGAAATGTAACATATTTAAAATATTATAATTATTTTCAAATAATAAAATATACCATTTTACTAAAGAAACGACATTAATGTACAAAGCTTAAAGATCAACGAACGTTTAATGTTTTGCCCTTTATGTAAAATTAAATCTCTAAAAATGAACAAATCTATACCAAAGTAATACGTCAATCATTGTCGGGAACTGCGACGATTGGTTTTTGGTTTCGATGTTGAATCTATATGTCAAGTAGTGTTCACTTTGTGTGCTGAAACATACAAATAATATATTGGCAAATCATTAAATACAAATTTATTTGTAATAGACAAGCAAATTCTTACACGAGATTGGTATCCTAAGAGATGCATCATCCTGTATAACGCATTCATGCGTATGAGTATGGAAGAGATACTGTACCAAAAGTTGCTTGTCTTCTCCCACACATGGATCATAAAATCCAGGTAGTTGACTCTGCAATAACATAAGATTCCATATGATTTACAAATATTTCAATTTTCATATTTCAATTTTCACTTCATATATACTTTGGTTTATAAGAAATTACAGAGAAAAAAAGTTTTAACAATCAATGACAGAATAAAACGAGGTAATTATAATTTTGGGAAAAATAAATACTAAAAAGCTGTCTACAATGGAGATACTTAGCTTAGTAAGAAATTGACCAGTCATAGTCGATTATTCTCTTCACATTCGACTGTGATTGATCAATTTCTTATAACTTATTAACTCAATTATAGGAGGCCTCTCACACATTAAATCTTATTTATGTAAAATGAGGTGTCAAATTTCATATTTTATATATATATAAATAGATGCGGAAGGTTTTGACAAAAATAAGAAATAAAATTTAAATGAAATAAAGACTCTTGACACAAGAGACGAGCTTATAAGAGTATACCTTAGATGCCTTATGAAGGATCAGTTTGGAATCCTTGACTAAACATTGCAAAGGAATCGTTACGTCTATCATTTCATCTCTGTGTCCGCTTTCATCCGTAGCAACTCGATCTTGTGGATAAACGAATCGACCATACAATGCTTTGGTAATGATTAATCCTTTCTTGGATTCCTCCTCGGCTCTTATCCTGCTGACGGTTTCCTTCATTAGTTCGGTGGCCGCTTTGGCTTCCCTTTGTTTTTCCAACATTCTGGACTTGTTCATCTCTCTTTGTTTCTCCTTCTCGCGCTCTGTCCGCTCTTTCACGACGGGATCGATTATAAGCTTCTTAATGACCGTCCAAGTGATTATGGGTGCTACAGTGGCATAAAAGATCGGAGCTGGAAGAACTTCGTCACACAGATGGATAGGGAACGTGTACGCCTGCGAGGCGCGACTCAATCTAAGTTTTAACGTGACGCCAGTTGGAACGCCGATGCGTACAGCCGCCGAGATCGAGCTATGTTTGGAGACCTTCTTTTCCGCACCGTATTCGAGAAACGCACCAAATGTTCCGGCTCTATAAATTATATAGAATATATTATACATAATTATTAAATTTGCTCATAATGGGATGAAATAACGTTAACAATACTAACTTGACACTACCACGAAGCTTAAGTTGCTTCTCTTCCATTTTATACGTATAGTTAAGGCTGACGAAAGAATGTAGAAGTCCGAAATGTATAGAAAACGCCGTGTACGATTGAGACGTGTCTCTCACAATCATTGTACTCATAGCGTCTTGAATACCAGCTCTATACGTAAGATATCCCACCGTGTGTTTATCCAATTGCATCGCAAGAGCTGCAAATATAACAATTTTGTTCAAGATATCCTTCTATACATGAAAAATATGAATATGCGAATAAGAGACTAAGAATTACATGGTTACAATTATAATACGAAAACCGCAAGTAAACGTACTCCCAACGTAGCCAGCTTTCACGCCATGTGATGTAAACTGCAATATCGTTGCCCCGTCACAGAACAATCGTTTCGTTAACGTGCGAAATGCTTTGAGGGAAAACGTTGGACCGTTGCCAGCCCCGACTTCGACCTCGACCCAACCCTTTGAAGATACCAGCCTTTTCGCCGAGATATTAATGGACCCGGAACCCGTACCGTTTTGGGTCCCAAGTTGACCGGACATAGTCACGGTGTCTCTCAGGGTCAAAGGCGCTTCGATAGACTGTGCAAACGACATCCCGCTGACTTCGATGCATGAAAACAGTCCACTGCTGAAACCAGGTCCATAACTTTTTAATCAAGGATTATAATTATTAATTTAATAATTTAATAATACTGCTTAATGATAAAATTTCATCATTAAACAATTTCTTTGCTGTGTTATCATAATAATATCGATTTTCAAAGTTGGTAAAAAACATGTTTTAAACGTGTTTTAATCCTATTCTACAATGTGCTTTTTGTTTCCTATTTCTTGCTTTGTGCTATTTTTTACATCTTGTCTTTGGCTTCTTATTCGGTTTTTTATTTTATATCCCTCAAGATAAAAGTTAACGAACTTTGGAAGAAATAGGAAACACGTAGCAAGAAATACAATTATCGATAAAACGATTGCAAAAAGGGAAAAAGTAAGAAATAGGAAACAAAGAGCATTGTAGAATAGACTTTAAACAGTTTAAAACGTGCTTGATTGATGTTTTTAATATATTTTAAATGTTTTTTTTTTATAGTATTATTTAAAGCATTAAAAACACATTTAAGAAGAAACACAATGTTTTATTCTTAAAAAAAAAAAAAACATTAGTCTTTACCAACTCTGGATGTTTTATTGTAATAATTTAGACTGATCGATCTTACCCATCACTGTAATCTTCATCGTATTTACTGAAAAGATCGGTGGCATTGATGTTTACCGTTACAGTGCCTTTAGGATTGG